ATGGTGAAGTGTGTAATGCATCATGTGTTTTGTTTGTTGACATTAAAAGACAGACTGATTTATAAGTCATAGTTTATTTATTGAAACTAAAAAAAAAGAAAGCAGGTAATGATGCGACTCGAGCAAACAGAGGTACAGATAAAAATAATGCTTTTGAAAAGGTCACTTTTTTTTTTAATTAAAAAACCCGAAGATGATTTTAATGAATCTCTCTCTCTCTCACACACACATTCACACACACACTCACACACACTCACACCTGTTTGAGCTACACTACTGCGATCACAGACGCTGTCTGTTAGAGATAATTAGTGTTAGGAGAGAAAATAAAGCAACGAAGCCTTTTCCCTTAACAGCAGCCTGATAAACGCGTCTACAGGCGTCGTAAGCCTCTCGTTTTGAAAAGGTCACTCACTCCGAGGTCGGGGCACACGGCTCGGCGGCTGATGGAGGATGTGCATGTTCCGTCACCGTGCCTCACCACGTGTGCACATCGACACGTTACGACACACAAACCCGCAGGCAGCGAGACATGAAGACAAAGACGAGCACAAATTCTCATAAATCCTGATCTCTCTGTACAAAGATGAGCGGAGATGATTCAAACAACGCCGTGAGCTGTGGCGTTTCTATGATTTACCCACAGTGGAGAGGAAGTCCTAAACTTTGTGGCACCGTTTACTCTGAGCAGCTGAAGTGCCAGTTAAAGGAGGAAACTTGAATTTGAATCATTGGTAACAAGCTCTGTGGTAGATGTGAGTATTCAGAAAAAAAGGAGACGGCTTGAAGCGTCGATCAGGAGATTTAAAATCCTCGTTCTGCAGACGCACCGAGAAGCAAAACGTGGATCAGCGATTGGTCGACGTCAGGAATTAGCCTCAATATACAAATACTCCAAACGATATCACCCACAGTCTGCTCCTGCTTACATGAAGGTGGAGCTACTCAGCAGTGAGCCTCCGCCCCCCCTCCTTCTGGTCTTTGGTGAGACTTAAAAACTCTCCTCTAGCATGTGTGAAGAAGAACCTGATCGCACTCGAACACCGTGTTTAGAAAAATAAAAAGCTGCAAAATGCATCTCCACGTCCGAGCTGCATTTTGGAGCTTTGACTGTGACGACGCTTTGCGTCTGTTTTTTTAATCTATATAATGAAGTCTAAATATTCTCTTAGTGTTAATCCATTCTGGGATAAGTCGTCGACCTCCTCCTGCAGCGCGGAGAGAAACTTTTGGAAGAGGAGGAGGAGGGAAAGAAAAGCCGGAGTTAAAGCGCTAAAATGAGGTGAGGAGAGAAATCATCGGGGTATGAAAAGGACAAAGAGGGGTTTGAAAACGTATCCTTTCTCTCGCTCTCTTCTTTTTTTTTTTTTCTTGCACAGGGACACGGATCGTCAATCATTGCCGGACCTCCACGTAGTTGGCGGGGAAGAGGCCGTAGGCGCCTCTGCAGACGCCTCGCCACCAGCCTTCATCGATCATCTCGATGTTGGTGATGATGTCATCGGGGTCGAAGGAGATCTCGTCGTTGCCGGCTGAAACAGGAAGACAGATCGATTAAAGGGAGGAGAACAGAAGGTGATGAATGACATGAACAAAGACATCACCAGCTTCTCGAGCTGCTCTCCGTGTTGGAGGAGGATAAACTGTTTGCCAAAAAGACTTTTTTCCTGATGATCATTTTTGGGTTGTGATCCTGGTGCATCTGTCAGAAAGCAGCACGGACACAAAGCTGGGCCACGTTTCAACAATTCCCCAAAGTGATGTGAAAAAGTTTCTGAGTCCTTCTGCAGACTCTTAAAAGCGCAGGGCCTTTGAGTCCGAGTCACAGCTCTCAGTCTCTCACCTGCTTGGTAATCGTACAGAGCGACCGCCGTCACCCCGAGGTCCTCGCCATAGTCGTACTGTTGGCCGTCTGTCAGAGGAAGAAAAAAAAAGGATTGTTTGTGATCTAGGTGAACTGACTGAGGACTGATTGTGGGGCTACAGGATACTTCTCAGTACAGTTTGAGGACATGAAATCAGAAATCTCACAAAAAGAAAATATGAAAACAAGGAATTCAGTGTGCAGACGTCCTGCATCACTACATCTTCAAAGACGGTTAATATGTTCAGTGTTCAATCAACGAAAAGATTCACATGAGTGGTTTTTGAGTAGTTAATAATATGTAACTCTGACCCCTAGTGTTTGAAAATGGGTACTGCAGTCTAAATTCTAAACATTGTAGAGAGCTGTCTCCCCCCGATCCTAGTTTGAGCACGTTTCTGCTCGTGGAGCTTATTAGAAACATGCAGAGGCTTTTTAGGTCGGGTACAATCACTTCTATCTGAACCACTTCTCTTGAACACTTCCATCGCTGCAACACCTGTTGACCTGATAACTGCTCTCATATCTGGCAAACCGAGGGGCGTCCAAAACGGCCATGTGAGGGTGCCTTAAAACCGCATACCTTCTCTGGTCCAAACAAATCCAGGGCATTCAGGAGCAGAATCTAAAGTTAGAAGGAGGACATACTGGCTGCTGTATTGTTGTCAGAGAAGCCAGCACTTCAACATAGCATGTTTCCATAATGTCTGATCATAGAGTAAGCTCACTTTATCATCTCACTCACTACACATCTCACTGATTGGACCTTTAAATCTTATATAATCTTGCGTGTCAGGTATTACACACAAGAAAGAAGTCAGCACCATCACTTAATAAAAAACGATGCTCACCTCCTGCTGCTGCGGTCTCGTCTGGGTTCTGGTAGAGCTCCTCCTCCTCCTGCTGCTGCTGCGTTTGTGGCTCCGCCTCGTACAGCTGCTCGCCGTTCTCCTCTGTGGTATCGTAATACGGCTCCTCTGATTTCTAACAAGACAAAACATCAGCTGTTTACATTTCATGCAATAGATCTATCTACACGTCCCATCTGCCTCGTATCAAAGTATTTCCACAACCTTCCTGCTTACGTCAGAGAGACGTCCCGACTCACCTCATGTGTTGGAGCAGCAGCTGGTTGGACGGCCGGGGTCGGGCTGGGGGTCGGGCTGGGGACGGGGACGGTACTCACAGCAGGAGCAGGAGCAGGAGAGGGAGCCCTGGGCGTAGCCTCGATTATACGGCGTGCCTCGTCTTGCTCCTGCTTCTCCTTGGCCTGTCGACGCACCCGCTCCTCCTCAGCCCGCTTCCTGTCCTCCTCCTCCTTCTCCCTGGCGATGTTCTCGAAGCGGGCCTTGATGCTTCCTGTGCTGCTGCCGGCTGATGAGAAGAAACAGAAACTATGTGAGGATTTCAGACATGGGTGGAAGTTCTGGCTCACACACAGCTGATGGCGATGAATTCTCACCAGCTTCCACAGGTTTGGTTTTCTGGTACGATGGGGTCGGCTTCTCCACGTGTTCAAAAGTTCCCGCGCTCTGTAGAGACAAAGACGTCAGACGGAGCTCTCCAAACACAAACACAAACGCACAAAGTAACACTCCATACCTTATCCATCCGGTCGTTCTGGACACCAAACTTCCCTCCAAAGCCTTTAGAGTAATCTGGAGACAAAGATGAGATACGCAGCGTCAGTGTGTGCTCTCTGTAAACCACACAACCACAGTCTGCATCGTTCAAACTCTTTTTCAGAGCTGGGCCACTTTTCAAATATTTACTACTGAAACAAACTGTTTGGGAATCGCTCCACTAGCTTAACCCTAAACTTCCACCAGATACGTGTGCACTCCTCACCTGTCATCATCCACAGGCTGCGTTCTCAGCAGCACCGCCGGACAGCTGGAGTGCCAAAAAGGAGTTCCCGGAGTTATTATAGATTACACTCGCTACAGCCCGAGATATCCAGATGTTTGTGGTATAAAACCATTTAAAACACATCAACAAACAAACATAAGGTCATTTTTCTGAACCGTTAAAACTGGGTGTTTTATTCTGAAAATCAACCGGATGTTTTAATGTTTTTTCGATGTCTGACTTCCTGTCCCACTCGATCTGTTCTGTGCTAAATTGATGCTCCGTACTCCGGCATCCTGCAGAAATCTGCTGGAGAGGACTCCAGACTGACGGAGCTGAGACGCAGCGGAGTCAGAGGAAGCACACACATCGAATAAAGTAAAAAACTATCAGCTCTGCTAATGTGGCGGGGCGGAGAGACGGACCGAACACTCATCTGGTGGAATTTAGGGGTAAGAGAGCAGCAGGAAAAAAGGTAACCTTGCTGTTAAAGTGGGTCCCCTAAAAGTTGTTTTTGTCTCTGACGGACTCAGATTGTTATTCCAAGTGTGTGACATCACTACAGAAAGAATCCCTACAGATTAGAGGTGAGTATTGGAGCCCTCTCTGCGTTCAGACAACGCAGACTGTGGTTGGTTCAAAGTGATAAACAGAAGAACTAAAAAGGGTCAGAGGACGGGCGGATGCGTTCATGCAAACCTGTAAAGAAGAGAAACCATAAATAAAAAAACTGAACGCAGCAGAAGAGGAGAGAATCTTATATACGATATAAGCCAGACATTTGGGGGGGGGGGGGTCAAGCAGCCATCTTGCTCAATCTTTGCTTTAAGATCAGCTGTGGTTCTGTGAGGTCGCAGCAGGTGAGCTTCATCAAACGCATGTGGACAATGACATGCACAAAATGAATGAAAGCACATCATGGCCGTGCTGGAAACAGCAGGAGGGAGGGTGTGGGGGGCGGAGGGGGAGGGGTTAGCGTTAACACTTTTTGTGGTTTTAACTTTTTACCATGACGTTAAAACGTGTGAGCTAACATGAGGGTATCTTTTGTGTTTCTGGTGATGCAGAGGCGGGAGGGGTGTAATAGGGAATAGGGAAAGGGAGGCAGGGCTGAGGATGAGGAGGATGGTGTGAAGGGCAGGGCGTCAAGCTCGGAGGAAACAGAAGGGTGGGGGGGGGGGGATTTAAAATTGGGGCGGGGGTCAGGGGAGTTTCAGTGCCTTTCTGGACTCGTGCTTGGCCAGGCTCTCCTTGTGCTCATATCCAGGGCACACTGGTCCTGCTTCTCCACCTGTACCCATACTGCCCTCCAAACCCACGCTTATAGTCTGCAATACAACACACACACACACACACACAGATATGGACACACGATAACCGACACATATATAAACACATATATATATAGACAAACATATAGACACGCTGATACAGCAGACAGAGAGGAGGGTCCAGGATAATAGACCAAACATTTGATTTTAAATAATAAGAAAAAAGGCTTTCTATAATCTACTCACCGTAAAACTTCAAATAAAAGCCTGTCCATATTTAAGATCTGGTAACTTTCACTAGCCTGGTGCTGCTGCACATTTTTACAAATTAAGGCAGCTCTCGATTACACCGTGTCCTAACCGCACGCGAACGCTTGACATCACGACACATCATGCATGATCTCACGCTTGCTGTCCCACACTGCATCAGTCAAATATTTCATTATCTACTCAGTGGATTTCAGTTTCCCATTGCCTACTGTAGAACATCTGGTGCTTTTACTTTGAAGGTAGACTAACTGAAGTGCGGTGCTTTTACTTTGAAGGTGGACTAACTGAAGTGCGGTGCTTTTATTTTGAAGGTGGACTAACTGAAGTGTGGTGCTTTTACTTTGAAGGTGGACTAACTGAAGTGTGGTGCTTTTATTTTGAAGGTGGACTAACTGAAGTGTGGTGCTTTTACTTTGAAGGTGGACAAACTGAAGTGCGGTGCTTTGTTTTGATGAGCTGTTGACTCAAATCTCAACACTCAGAGGCTCGTTGATAAACGGCTCGCAGTGAGACGATGTAAGTTTTACTCTGGTGTTGACAAAGGTCAAAGGTCAACATTTCAATCATGATGTGGATTTTATTAATGTACCTTTATCTCCACTTTGTAAAACAAGCTAACACGCTCTGCTGAGGGAAAAAAGCCAGTGTCCCATCTTTGCTGTCAGTCACCTCGTAAATAAGAGCCGGCTCATTTCATAGACTGCAGCAAATAAAAGCCTGAGCTCTTAATAGGAGTTTTACGGTATAACTGTGTTTTTCTTCTTCTACCATAGTGTGTGGTTTTGACTTCCTCTTATCAGAGCTTCTATTTCTCCCACAGATTGGGGAAGTTATCGAGCTTTGAAAGACCACATCCGAAGCCACAATGAAACCACATCAGAGCTGAACAGGAAGAAAGATTTGAGGGTGCTGAACTCAAAGCAGACAGACTAGAAGAGGTGGATTTAAAAGCCCTCCTAGAAGAAGAAGAAGAAGAAGAAGGACAGTTTGAAGTGGAACCGTTTAACAAAAGGAAGCATGTTATTCTTCAACTTGGTCAACAGGATCTGCTGTTGGAAGGTTTTAGAGTTAATAACATTAAACAACTTCCAACTACACATTTTTATTAGAACCCGACCGATAAATCTGCAAGCCGATAATATCGGCCGATGTCAGCATATCCAGTGACAACCGGTATCGGCTAATTTTATCGCAGATATGCGCCGATATTACTCAATTTATTCACAAGTCAAACAGCATTTCATTTGAGTTTTATTGTAATCACACTAGCAGTTCTCTTTCACCAGCAGAGGGCGCTATATGGATTACAACAAGCATCATCACTTTGCGTAGTGTCGAGCAGTGATCATCCATCCATTTTCTTCCGCTTATCCTGGCCTTAATTGTAGTAAGTCCACCTAAACTAGACAGACAAGATGGGTAGCCATCTTGTCTGGGTAGTTACCATCAACACAATAAATGTGTATAGCCATATCTATCTATCTCTACAGATTGAACGTAGATCTAAAAAAGATATTGGCTGATATATCGTATCGGCCCCAAAACTCACATCAGTCGGGCCCTAATTTTTATTTTTCTTATAAATGGAAAAGTTCAGAAAAAAGGAGACGTTAACTCATGTGTCACACCTTTATCAAGCTACAGCTGAAGGTGAAGCCATGTAGGTGCATCTCCTCAAACCTGTAAATATAGGGAATAAAAGCCTCTAGAAGCAGATCAGAAGCAGTACCTTTCTGGGATTCATGGAGCTGCAGTTTCTCCTGGTGGTCCCATCCCAGCGCCGATTTATCCTGTCTGTCCGTCTGAACGCCAAACTTGCCCCCGAAGCCCTTCACGTAGTCTGCGGACGCACAGAGCACGAAGAGAGGAGACGACATTAACACGTTTCTGAGAGTTTCTTTTGTTCTCTGTATGACACGCATAAAAAGTGCAAAAAAACTGCAGTTCATTGGGTGTCCACTAGAGGCTGGCTGCAGAAGCACAGGAAGTCGCATACACACCCATTCAAAAAAGCTGAAATTAACATGGTTAACAAAACACAATACATCTGATTAGCTCATGTTGACCGCCATTGATGGGACTCCAATCCCCGGCCCCCCTGCAGTAACAGACAGGTGACATCACTCTCAACTAAACTCTGTTTCTGATTGGCTAGTAACGTTGTTAGGGTGAGTGCGTCCTCACAGCCTCAGATCAGACATCTAGCACGGTGCCGGACAACTTTAAGCCCCGTAAGTTTCTCACTGGTGCATGTTAGAGGTCGACCCAGTTATCACAGTCTGCACCATGTTTGCAAACCAAGCCCCGGTGCATTGTGGGGAATGCTTGAGGACATAAACACCTCCAATATCAGCCTGTTACTATCAGCTGCTGTTGGCCAACCAGGCAGTAAAGTCTGCACAGGTGTGTCAGTCAGGAATCTGCAGGTGAAGCTGCCTCTGCTGTTCAGACGAGTCGGGACAGAAACGAGAGAGAGAGAGAGGGAGAGGGAGAGGGAGAGAGAGAGAGAGAGAGGGAGAGAGAGACAGAGACAGAGAAAAAGAGAGAGAGAGGGAGAGGGAGAGAGAGAGAGAGAGAGAGGGAGAGGGAGAGAGAGAGAGAGAGAGAGAGGGAGATAGAGAGAGAGAGAGGGAGAGGGAGATAGCGATAGAGAGAGAGAGGGAGAGGGAGATAGAGATAGAGAGAGAGAGAGAGAGAGAGAGAGGGAGAGGGAGAGGGAGATAGAGATAGAGAGAGAGAGAGAGAGAGGGAGAGAGAGACAGAGACAGAGAAAAGAGAGAAAGATAGAGAGAGAGAGGGAGTAAGGGGGGGAGAGAGAGAGAGACAGAGAGAAAGAGAGACAGAGTGAGGGGATAGAGAGAGAGGGGGGGGAGGGACTCAACAAGCCTTTAGCCTCTCTGATAGCATGGGCAGCAGCAGAGTCAGGGAGATGTCGACTCGTTCGTCACACTAACCTTTCTGGGACTCGTGCCTCTCCGTTTTGCCCTGGTACTCGAAGCCCATCGCGCTCTTGTCCACCTTGTCGGTCTCAACACCGTACTTGCCGCCAAAGCCCTTAGCGTAATCTGCCGGAGGCCAGGAGGAGGAAAAGCAAAAATTAGCACAAGAAAAGGTGGAGATGACTTTATCCCATGGAGCAAACTCTTGTGTTTGTGTTTTGAATCTGTGCGGTTAATCTGAGGTGTCGTGGCGGCGTGTTTTTCTGCACGCTCTGTCAGCCTGTAGATAGTAAACAAGCAAGAAATACAAAAATAAAACCATACAACGCCATCTGAGGAGATTTTAGAAGTGTGTTTTAAGGAGAAAAGAATAAGTTAGCAGGAGGAAAGCTGATATATTTACAACAAAAGGCTTGAACAAAAAGAAGGAGTTTACATAAATTAAAGCATCCCACTCCTCTGGGGAAACCAGTTGGGTCAGGCTGAAGCCACAGACCAGCTGGTACACGGTGGCGTTCCCCTGTAATCTGAGACGCGGAGGGAGCCGCAGAAACACATGAAAGGAGACGGAGAATAAACGACCACCTACATCCAAAAAGGTGTTTAAACTCCTCTGAGGCAGATGTTCTGTGTGTGCCGTATCTTTAAAAATATTGTGACAGGCATTCGTGTTTTAAAAAACTGAGGTCGTTGGGGAAAAATCCCATCATGCATTGCAACCCAGAGGAAAAACAGAGAAATCGTTTGCAGCAGACGAGAAGCTGAGGAATGAAGGAAGAGGAAGAAAAAACAAAATAACAGGATTTGTCAGGACCTGTGCTCGCTGAGTCAGACCACGCTGTGTGTGTGTGTGTGTGTGTGTGTGTGTGTGTGTGTGTGTGTGTGTGTGTGTGTGTGTGTGTGTGTGTGTGTGTGTGTGTGTGTGTGTGTGTGTGTGTATCCATTCTCGCCGTTTCTCTCCAGGTTAAAGGGGATTCCATACAAACCTTTCTGGGACTCGTGTTTCTCGGTTTTGCCCTGGTAATCGAAGCCCATAGCGCTCTCGTCCACGCGGTCAGCCTGCACGCCGTATCGCCCCCCAAACCCAGTGGAGTAGTCTACACAGCAAAGCAGGGGGTGGGGGGGGGGGAGGGGGCAAAGTCAGGGTGAAGCAGCATGGTAGGCAGTGATAAAGAAGCAGCCCTATTCCAAATTCCTCCTTTACTTTAACTTGTGCCCCGTTTCCACCAAGCGGTCCGGTAAGGATCAGGGGGCGTGTGTATGCCGGACGCCGATAGCTGCCTCAGCTACGTAATAGCGTGACATCATAGCAGCGCGACACAGTGTACCCCGCCAATAAATTCAACGTAGAAGAAAAACATGACACAGTAAACGAAGGGGACGTCAAGTAACTTGTCTTCTTTCTCATCAGCTGTGTGCCTTTCAGGGTCGGATTGGTACGCTTGGCACTTCAACAGAAGGGTAGAAAAAAAGTCAGACAGTATGGACCGGTGATTTTGGAACCGCTTGGTGGAAACAGGGCTTAACAATCCTGTTTTCTGCACATTTAATCTATTCCTGGTGACGGAGGAAGCACTGGAATTGGGTAAATGTTCAGCACTCGTTTGCGGGGGATGAAAGCAAAACAAAAGGTGATGATGATATGCCGACATGAAAAGGCAGCCTAACAAACACTAAAAGCTAAGAAGCAACATGGACTCTCAGGGCAGCGGGGTCACTATGAGTCAAACCTCAGTCTGCAGTGTGTTGTATTGTTTTGCTTTTACTCCAGCACATTGGACCTCTAATGTAACAGTGACTACAGGGTGTAAACGCCAAAGATCTCAGTTTGGTGCTCTTTGGCGACACATATGGTCATGAGTGGTAACTGCAGGTTGCAGGAAAACCAACCGGACAACCAGATAAAACAAATGCAGCGGACTTTCATCCACGGGACATCAACTCAATCACAACTGTGTTAAACTTATTCTGCAGAAGATAGTGACATAACAGATATTTATTCAAAGGCAGAGTCAGCAGCTTTCTCCTTCAAAATAAAATACAGACTTCTCCTAAAGTAGAGCTGCTCCATCGTCCCTTCTGGGCCTCCGTACATGCTGTGGTGGTGACTGTGTCTGCAGAGACTCTGTCCTCTGACTGGATTTTACTGTTCTGCTTTGTTCTGGTTGATTCGGGACGTTTCTGGGCGGAGGGCTGGTGTGTTTCCTCCAGCCAATGACAGCGCAGCAGGTGAGTTTAGGAGTGGATACAAGTTAGTGATTGGACGTGGACGTAGTGCCCAAGAAGAGAAAATATAATCAGAGTGAGGAGAAACACCAAGCGGATAAAGCTCGTTCTGAAACGAGGGTGAACCTTGTGTTGTCTTTTACCCGTGGACGTGGAGTTGATCTGCTTCCTGTTGGACAGGAAGGTGACAAACACCGGCGGTTAGCTTGTTCTAGCGACAAGCAGTAAACGTACACACTACGTCCTGCAGTGAGGGTGAGCTTCTGGGGGCGATGAGCGGCCCATGCTGCAACGGACATTTCTCCTGACTCTACCTTCAGGTGGAAGTTTTCCGGATTATAACAGCACTCATAAAGTGTTCATTTTAAATCTAATGTGCTGGAGAACAAAGCCACATGATGCTGTCTTCATTCTTACAAACTGCTCTGTGACTCATTCTGTGCCAGGGAAACAAACACAAAACAGCAGCTTCACCAGCCCACACCGCTAACAGGCTCACATGGTGCGTCTGGAGAGTGGGAACCTGGCAGAGCAGAGATCAGGCAGCTTCTGATCAACACAACATGAGTGTGTGTGCTGCAGCCAACCTGCTCAGTGTGTCTCCTGCAGGCAATCTGCACACGGTCAAGAAGTTTACATTTCTAACGTGTCGTCTGAATCAGATGTCCTCGTGCTGGGTCATGCAGCATATTACTCAAACGTTTCAGGACTAGTCTGACAAACTGAACTCCAGGTAATCTGTCAAAAGCTGAAATAGATGTTCAGAGAGAGACAACAGGTGTGACATCACCTTTCTGTGAAGCGTGTTTCTCCGTCTTCCCGGCATACTCAAACCCAACCGCTGACTGGAAATAGAGAGAAAGAAGAAAGTTATTATTCCACTGTACATTCATGTCTTAACCACATCAGAGTCACCATGATTGTGAATATTTCCTGGAGCTGCATCAGCCCAGCTGTGCATCACTTCCTGTAAGGGTAGTTCTTGTTTTGCTTTTTTTTTTTTTTTTTTATCTTGACCAAAGATGGGGGTCTAAATGACTTAAAGAGACTGACTGTCAGTCGGAGGTCTGCAGATATTTCTGCCATAGTTTCTCCACTGATGGGGGGGGGGCAGATAAAATAGGACGTGCCTTCTGTTGCCATGGTGATTTCAGATGCTGTATGTAAGTTTGAGCAGGTCACATCAAGGGTAAGTCTGGGTCTGGGTATCGGCTCTTGGCTCTGCTCACACGAGTGTGATTATGTGCCAAAACATCAAACATGTCAGACGTTCAGCTGACTAGGCAGGACAGCTGATTGGGCTGAGATCGGACCCAGTGCACGACTGACGCCGGGTGATTGAGCTGGAACTTGGCCCGGATACCGCAGGTTTTGGATACCAACTGAAGCATTCAAGTAGAAAAGTCCCCCAACCCTTTGCACCAATCAGTCATCATCTTTAAAAGTATAGAGATGTCGTGAACGCGCTGAAAGAAATACCTGGTCAACACGGTCAGCCTGGACTCCATACTTCCCTCCAAAACCCTTTGACGTGTCGGTCTGGGAGCAGTGCTTGGACAACTTCATCTGGTAATCATGACCCACAGCAGACTGTGAAGAAACACACACACACACACAAATCAGAATAGATTAGGAACAACTGAGGAGAGGTGGAGGGGTTATGAAGAGAACAGTTCAGCAGGAAACACAGCCAGCGCTCAGAGGCGGTGACACCTGACTCATCACACACACACACACACACACACACACACACACACACTGTGGTGTAAACAGTGCAGGGTCATCACATTCATGCTGCTGTGACCGCACGGCCAAGAGACAGAAAGGTGTGGATGGACAGAGCCGCTCGCCAGGAAAGATTATGGAGTGTGAAACAGCCACAACTGAGTCAGCCTTTTCACACACACACCATGAGACACACACAGACACACACACACACACACACAGACAAAACTGCTCCTAAAGCTGAAAGGACCCTCAAGTCCTGAGATTTGTGAAAACGTCGGCTAAATGAAGAGGAGAGCTCTCTTTAAAATATGAAGGACATATTTCTATAATGCAAACCGGATTATATTTAGAGTCTGCTGCAGGAAAATCACAAATACAACTAAACTGGCGTCACCGCTCAAAGAAAAACATGATGGTGCAAGAAATGAATGTTTGACCACACCTGCGATCAGCCTATTGGTGTTGAAATCTATATATGTGGGTGTGGCCCCTCCTCCTTTGGTCACAAACTATCACCTGGAGAAGACCGCTGAAAGGGTCCAAATGTTGCGACTGTGATGGAATAAAACTTTTTGGTGACATTTGAGTAAGTGTGCGGGCGTATCTCATTCCTCAGGTGTAGTCTCCTCCACACACGCCCAGTATGTTGTGTTTTATTTTGAAATTGACCGGAAGCTCTGTGCGTTTCCTTGTCTGACTTCCTGTCAGGGTTGTGATATTCTGTCCAGCTTGACGTGGCTGCAGCGAGCTCTGTTGAAAAGTAGCAGAGCGTAGTGGCGCTGCTGGCACGCTCAGGACACAGACCGCGGCGCTCGCTGTGGAAACACAATCATTGACTAAAGTGGTAGCAAAAGACTGCGGCACTGACGGACCGCGGCCAATGGGAGTATGTGTAAATTGAGAGTCAAGGTCCATTTGTGGAGCAGAAACAAATCTACAGAAAAGCTTCTGAATCATTTAGCACAATCCAAATCTAAATCAGGAAACCCGGCGATTTCTCCAGGACTCTTGGAAAAGGTCAAACTGTCCTTCTGTGACCCTGTGTCTCCTTTCCCCTCTCACCTTGTCCATGCGGTCCTGCTGCACTCCAAACTTTCCTCCGTATCCATGCGAGGCCTTGGGCATGCACTCCTGCTCCTTCTGCTTCAGGCTGGTGTGCTCCGTCGACACCGTGTTCCGCAGTTCGTGGATACTTAACCAAGAAAAGCACAGCGTTAGGAAGACACATTTGTGGGACTGTGTTGGCCATTTTTAATACTTTGAGGAAACCACATGCGCTTCCTTACTCTATGTGCCCCTGATGTCCTGAGCCCGACACCGTCTTGGCCCCCCAGCGCTGCTCCTTCTCCGACACATCGTTCTAGAAATCCACGAGAACAGGAAGAAGAGGGTTCAATGATTATCATGCAGCGAGTGAGGAGAGGGAGAAGATGGTTTTAGAAGCGCACTGAGGACGAGTGAAGGGAGCTTTGGTACCTCAAAGTCGGGGTCGGTCTCCCAGTCGTCCCCCTCGTCATTCACAGCCACACCGATGGTCTGTCCTGCTGCTGCCTTCCACATGTTTAGAGCAACACACACTGAAAGACAGCATCACATAAAATCAGATAAACACACTTTATCTACCTGATTCAAAGGGGATTGTTTTAAGAAGATGAAGAAGAAAGGACATGGTGAAAAGCTGAGGGAATACTGTCTGAATGTATCGCTTATTTTTGAGTGTTTCTGTGTTCCTGTTCGCCCCTAACGTCCCAAAGGAGTCATCTTAACTCTCCCAGTGCCACAATATTTGGTAATAGGTTGACGTCCGCAGGGGTCAACAGGGCAAATATCGGCCCCCGCTGGCATTCAACCGATTCATCGATCAACCTTAAACTCAGCAGTCTTCCTCTTGAAATTTGTTTTCGCAAGTTCACGTGTGAAAAATCCTGCTGTCGTGTTGAATCCCTCTCACCTGCATTAAACACAGACGCTGCAGAGCTACGTGCTGAAAGAGAGCGTGGTCACAGTAGCAGAACATTAAACTTCAATATCATACTGGTATTTGTATGATACCACTAACTGTTTTGATACCACAGCAACAGAATCAGACGTCTTTTGCAGCCAAAACTGGGGGTTTTCTTTGGGTTGTTTTTTTGATAGGACAGCTGAAGAGAGACAGGAAATGTTGGGAGGAGAGAGGGTCGGAGACATGCAGCAAAGGGCGATGAGGACAGCAGCCTCTGTTAAATGGGGCGCGTTTTTAGAAACTCCTGCAAACTCTCGAAGTTGCACAAACACAGTTGCAATGTATCTGTACCCTAAATGTTGCCAGCATATTCTTGCAATCAAGACAACTTAAACTCCTCTGCTTTCTGTCTGTTTGTATGCGACATCATCTGTCACTTTCACATCTTTATGAGACGACAAAAAGAGCCAGAAGGGGGCGAAGCACTGTGTGTGTGTGTGTGTGTGTGTGTGTGTGTGTGTGTGTGTGTGTGTGTGTGTGTGTGTGTGTGTGTGTGTGTGTGTGTGTGTGTGTGTGTGTGTGTGTGTGTGTGTGTGTGTGTGTGTGTGTGTGTGTGTGTGTGTGTGTGTGTGTGTGTGTGTGTAGTTCCCACTGTGCCGTGCTTCCACAACACTGAAACGCAATGTGAAGTCACAGAGTGGGACGCCATCATTACGCTGTAATGGAATCAATATGAATCTATGAAGACGTGATGACGGCTGAGCTGAGTTACGGCACTTTTGCGGAGAAAAAACAAAAGCAGCCTGACAAGGGTGATAGGCTCTCTTCTCCCAGCACTGGAGAGGACCCCTCACCTGGCAGCCGTGCAGCGTTCTGTTCCCTTCAGAGGGCTTCAAGAGAGCGGGCCAATCAGTGGGAGTGGGGCCTTAAAGAGACAGCAGCTGAAATAAGCTGTTTTAAAGTCTGATGTGAGTTTTAGTGATGCCAGCGAGAGGTTTTTTTTTTTGCAAATCATGCCAAGCTGCTCTGCTGGTTTCACAGACTGACAACATGGAAGGTAAACATGAGGAGAATATGGGAGCAACTCCGAGTTAAGTGTCTTGCCCAAGGACACATCGGCCACGTGACTGCAGCAATTGATAACTAAAAATCAAGAAATTACCGAAACGTGGGTGTCAAGGACTTCTGAGGTTTGTGGCTGGGGATCGAACCCGCAACCTTCAGGTTGAGAGACGACCGGCTCTACCACTGAGCTGCAGCCGCCCTTTTAATCGTGTCATCAGAAGGTTTGGACTCCCTTTACTGAATAGTGTGTCTGTGAGTCTGCATTAGCATTTAAGAGGAACAAACGCTTTCTGTGCTAAACCTGATTCCTGACTCAGCACAATGTGGGCATCAGCATCTGTGTTGAATCAGGGGCTCTGCTCACCTCACAGGGGGGGGGGGCAGACACAGAGAAGAGCCACCTCAGACCCGGAAGTAGCTCCAAGTCTCAACTTTAAGTCTGTCAAGAGAATTCCCCACAACACAGCCACACCCATATACAGCTACAATCCAAATCTGAACATTGTCCCTCTTTGTGACCACGCTGCGTGAAGAAGAGGTGCAACAAAATGCGACTTGTTAAAAAAGAAAAAGCTCTTAAATAACAGGAAACAGCTGATAAATTACATTAACAAGCTGCAATCACGTCATTTACGTAAAGCTCGTTTGACGTTAACCTACCTTTTGCGTAAATGTAGGTTAGTTTTCTTTAAAGTAGGCCAAGCCACTTTATGTATTTAACTTACCAGGATGCGCGCGCAGCTTTTCCCAATTAAAACGCATTTAATTAAACGTTGACGCTCGCGATCACACTTATCAAACAGACGTTTAAATGAGGATGAAAATCTCCTTAATGGTTAAATCGACGACGGGGAATTAACATCGAGTGACGAAAAGAGGTCAAATGTGATGAACTTAGGTTAAATTAAATCAGAATAGTGGTGTATGAGTCTGCCTGAGTCGCTGGTATTTCCTGTTCCAGTTTTCCAGTCAGCTAGCCGGCTAATGCTAACACGCCTCCCTCCCGGAATGATTAACTGATCTTTACACACACACGGCAGGTAGACATCTTGTAAAACTCACCTTGTTCGACAAAAGGTAGCTCCGGCCACACTCTCTACAGGTTGTAAAAATCCTCCCCTGGTGGACGTGGGTCCGTTCAGACCTCCAGCTTTGATGGAGAAACTGTTACGTTTCAGGGATCTGATGGCTCTCTTCCGGCTCTCCCAGTATCCCGAGCTCAGCCAGCACTGACGTCACGAGGGGGGCGGGGCTTCAACATGTACATTTTCCCCGTAAATTTCAGAATAATTTCTAAATTTCACTTCTTTTTTTTTTTCAGAGTTATGTTTCTAGGCATTTTGTTTCCATTTAATGTCATTCCTCCATCTTCATTAGGGCAAATTCACAATGAAAAAAACACACATCCAACTTTGTTTTTCTTAGATCAAGTTGAAAATAAAATAATTATTGTACATAAATTAATGCACCTGGTAATTGTAGGATTCTATGGAGACCCTTAAGTCCCAAAAAGTGAACATTTTTAATATAACCACCTTGTGCTTTACAAGATAATAACATGCACAAAAGTTATTATCCTGAGTGACTCAAGTTTCTCTGCAGCTCAGCTATACTGATTTATACAACACGTAATCTGTGAGTTACAAGGAATTAATTGTGGCCTCTTTTTCACTAAGTTAGAAGAAGTTATACTTTTCTAATCCCACAGAGGGGAAATTCCATAATACACACGTTCACAAACAGGATCCTGTGGACATGATCTAATGGAGAGATGTCAGAGTGAGGGAGGCTGCCCGCTGCTCCTGAGCCGGTGAGGGGTCACTGCCTTGTTCGAGGCCACTCCAGTCGTGCTCAGAAGTGAACTGGCACCTCTCCATCTTAGTGCTAACCCAGTTAGTGCATTATATATGTTTAAACTTAGTTCAAGTCCATGCACATTTGTTGTTTTTAAATGCACGTTTATCTGTATTTCTTTATACGATTGCAGTTTGCCCCAAGGTCAGAGAGAAACGATTTGTTTTCTGTATGTTCATTATGTCTGGCAAAAATTGACAATAAAGATGACTTTGACGTTTCTAATTTAATGTCATTCCTTCATCTGAATGTGGGGAGGTTGGTAGCAGAGTGGTTAGTACACATGCCCCATGTACAGAGACAGACCCACTCTCTCTCTCTCTCCCTCCCTCCCTCCCTCTCTCTCTCTCTCTCACTCTCCACCCAGGGCCTGACTCTAAAATAAAAGCATACAGGCCCAAAAATAATTAGCATGCTAAAAAGCAGCAAGTTAATGGTGAATATTGTGCTTTAATTTAAAATGTTATCAACTTAAAGGTCACATATGATTGAAAATCCACTCTAACACTAATATGCGTCTCTAGTCTACAAACCCCCCAATGAGAAAAGTCCATCCTCTCCATCTTTTACCTGCTCCACCTTTCAGAAAATGTGTGCTCAAACAGGCCGTTTGGAGATTTCCCCTTCCCTTTCCCTTGAAATAGAGGGGTTTATAGGCATGATCAAATACAGGATCAGAGTGGATTTACAACAAGAAACTTCAAACACATGTTTTGAGGAGCTCTGAGACTAATTTACACTGAAGAGGAGGAGAATGTGACCTTTAATGTCATACATTGTTAAATAACCGTCATGACGAACACACTGAACAAGGACTTCTCTTTACTCCTTTTTTTTCTTGAACCAAAAGCAGGACAGGAGCAGACCAAGAGGTTGTTGAGAAGACAAGAAAATCTTTAGTCCTTTAATCTGCCGTGGAAAATAAGTTTCAGTATTTTATTGAAAGTAAGCAATAAATAATATTGTGATAAAAATAGTTTATAAGTACTCAGACTGTACATCATTGTTACAAGATCAGAGGAT